TGACATACAAAAAATATCATCATAAATATAATATATAAAGATATATAAATCTATTTGACATATATCTACATATAATTTAATACTAATTTTGAATAAAATTTAACAATTATAGGAATATATTTACTAATATATATAAAAAAATATTGTAAGTAAAAATACTTTTTAAATGTCAATATATTATGTTATTATACTGTGTATGTCATTACAAGATTTTTTTTAATTTTTAATTTTTTTATAGTGTATATAACATTCTAGATCAATTCTTTTATAGCCAATGTGAAAAAAATGTCAAAAATTTTAATTATACCAACGTATCTTTCATTTTTTTTTATCACATCGGTTATTTAATAGTTGATGATGTAAAATATAATTTTATAGCCAATGTAAAAAAATGTCAATATATTTTGAATGAATGAGCGGAGTTTCTACTTATTTCCTTCCTTTTCTGCAGAAACCAACGGAGAACAAAAGGTTAAAAAGAAATATTAATTAGCATTCTTAATAATTTAGAATCATTCGATTGTCGTACTAACTACCTCAATTAAGAACTTATTTAAATATAAGTTTGAAATGTTCTTGAGAATTTCTCTTAAAAAAAATATTTTTGAATAAATTTTTTTTAAACTTGTATTTAAATAGGTCCAACACCAATATTACATTGAGAATAAATTACTATTTGCTGCCAAGAGTTCATTTAAGAGAACACATATGGACTTACACTCAAAGATATCTTTCCGTTGATGAAGCTCCTGAAGAAGACTGATGTAGTAGGAATGAGGCTTGTTTCAACTTCTAATTGCTCGTGCTACTGTGGCTTGTCGTAACAAATCAAATCACATAGTGACCATTTTTTCAGTAAGAACCATATGTATCGAAGGCAATCTTGTCTGAATTATATAAGAGTATCATGAATGATTAAGGTTTCTCTATTTGTATACTGAGGACATGGCCACCATACGTACGGTGAGCTAAACAAGAGAAGCACTCTTTGATGAACGAAAGCAATGGATGAATATGTGATTTGATTTGTCACAACAAGCCAAAACACTTGCAATTATAAGTTGCACCATTCCTTCTACTGCCTCCTTCAGTACTATAGCAAGATATCTTCAAGTTGAAGTCCATACGTGTCTCTGAAATGGAACCAAAGCCATTCACGCTTGATCCACTCCTTTAAGTGCTACTATACAAATTGCTCATGTGAGGGTGCAAATAAGGTTCTATTTATAAGATGAGGGTCCAAGTTGAATCACGTATTACGCGGTTATGAATACATAGTAAGTAACCCATTGCCGACAAATGGAGATGAATTGAGGTGAAATATTATTACTATAGCCTATAGCTGATTTTCATTAACGAACTCTCCTTGAAGCTTCACTGTCTTTTCCTTGAAGATTCTCAACAACATTCAGGTTCCAAGTGATGGTGACAAATACAGCAACGGTGGTAATTTCTTGTGGTGAAACGTACTAGGTCTTGCTTCTTTGACTCAGGAATCATGCTTGGTATGGGACCAAAATTTTGGCTTAATATAGTTATGTATATAGGTCATTCGTTCCTCTCCTAGCTGGAGTTTGGATTTATATATTTGATGCCACAATATGATGACGTTGGACCGGAATTGATCCACTATGTTGTGTGATTTTGCAAATATGTGGTCATATATATGTGCCAACAATGAGAAACTTGATTATTTTTTAGGTACTATTGTTTTGTCGTGACAGATAAAAATGGGAAATAAACTGACAAAGCTTTGGAGGTGAGATTCAAATCCTCACCCCGACATCTTAAGCCTTGTAAAACAACTACTAAATCAATTTCATTCTTAATATATATATATATATGAAAGTTATGTTATATATGTAAGTTAAAAGAGGGACCAACTACTACTAAATATATAAAACCATAATAATTTAACTAAACTAATTAAAAATAATAATTCATAATAATTATGAACTGAAATTAAAAAAATATTATTATAAAAAACTAATTTTATTATTATTAAAATAATTTTTGTAAACAACTTTTTAACAACATTTTAACAATGTATATATATATATATAGATAATTTAATATGTAATTTTTTTAAATTTAAATATATTTTTTAGCCTTTTAAATTTAAGATTAATTTAATTTTAGTCCCTCAAATTTAAAATTATTATTTAATTCTTGTAATTTTCAAAACAACTTAACAAATTGTCACCAGATAAATCATGAAAAGCTTTTCAAATTAAGCTTGATATTCAGAAATTGACCCATACCCACAAAGTTTATAAAGTTTTTGTTGGTGATTTTCATGTGATGAGGGCCCAAAGTGGAGTTCTAGGGCTCTTGCAAAGGAAGGCCAGTCAACGAGGTGTTGATTTTGATACATCCATTTGTACCAACCGAGAACTTCTCCCTTCATATAAAATGTTGCGATGTTCAAAGGAAAGTGATCTAATAAATAAGCTGTTCGGATTGGAATAGTCGATCTAAAGGATCAGTCCCTTAAAAGGTTGTAAGTTGTAGTTTAAGTGAGTGTATGGAGGGGATGTTTATCTGTATGGTTTTAAATTGGGTTGTGATCGTAATTGTTGTTATTACGATTGCAGTTATTATGAGTATTGCGATATGGATTCTCGGTGTAAAATTATTAATTATTTGTATTAAATATAAAAAAATTATAATTATTAATATATATTTTATTTTTTAGGATTTATACATTTTTATTTTTTTTTTAATAAAAATATTTATATATTAATATATTATTATAAATTTGTCATTTATGGATGTATTGCAGATACAACACTATTACATTATAAAATATATGATTTACGGTCTCATAATTGCGATCCGATGTTGCAAATGATACCGCAACGCAACTGCAATATTGCAACTACAATACGTGATACAATCCGTAATTTTAAACACTGGTCTGTATGAAAAGGGTAAGATAGGGGTGGTTGATGTGAGATGGTGGGACATGCATACTAGGTGGAGTGATGGGGATTTGCAATATGGGAAAAGGGGTAGCATCTTTGGTGGAAGTATTTGGGGTAAAACTAAAAGCCATACCAAAGGGATAACATCTTAAGTAGCATTTGCAATTATATTTGGCCTCAAAAGCTAAAGAGCCCATTTAGGAAAATAACAAAAGGGTCCAACAATAAGTCTGTAATTTAGACATAGTCTTTTAAACAATATGGATCAGATGATAAACCTTTGGGCCTATCAGTATATATCCATCAAATTTGTATATGCTAAAAATATATTACTAAAAAAAAAATTATAAAATATAATACATAAATATATAAAAAGAGAGGCGTTGAAATGCATTTTAAAATTTTATTATATATATTTAATAGGACTTGATTTCAAATAAGAGGATAGCTCATGAATTGAGATCAATTAGCGAATATAGTAAAATCAAAAGCACATAATTAATTATCTTTGTCTGTGTGGAAACTTGTCTTACCTATAACAGTTATAATAATTCGACTGAAATTAGTCCCTGACGTAATAGAATGAAAAATATTTGTGGCAGAATAAAAAATAAAAAAAGATCACTTAATTAATTATGATACTTAATAGGTAAAAATGTAATTAAGTGAAAGATATATCTTCATAGGCCAATACTTTAGTAGAAGTCAAAGTTGCTGGGTGGAGGAAGAAACAAAAAAGTGAATTCTGTGACCGCTTAAGTTTACTTGTGCATGTAAACTATAATTGAACAGTAAGGATGCTAATTTTTGCATGCATCTATGGGTTCTCTTTGACTCCCTCAATTTATTTATAAAAAGATTTGTGTTACGAATTAAGATAAGTACGTCTTAACAAATTAAAATAAACACATATGTAAACAAAAAAAATTAAAATAAAACACATTATTAAAGTGAAAAAGAAATTTTGAGTGTAATATTACTTATGTTTTGGGAGCATAATCCTTACCGGGACCCTATGTAAATATTGATGCAATGATGCTCAACAACCAAGGTCACTGGGGGAACCGGCATCCTTATTTCTATGTTTAGTTTGAATGAAAATAGGAGGAACAAAAATAGGTAAAATAAATAAAAATAAAATTATTAATCATTTAGTTGAAGAGGAAAAAATGAAACAAAGATATTTTTAAATGAATAGTTTATTTCTTCAGTTTAATTTTTATATATTATTTATGTGAGTAAATAATTTTAGAAAAAATAACTAATTAGAAATTACACTAGATATAATATTTAAAGTAATAATGATTACAAAAGTTAATATTTTTTTTAATTATATGATTAGTTATGATACCATAATATAATTAAAAAATATCTACACTATCCATCCCTTCTAATTAAATTTTTTAATTTAATTTTAATATATCCAATATAAAAAATTGAAATTATTGTCTATCAATTAAAAATTATCTAAGACAATTTTAAAAATAATTATTATAAAAATCAATAACTTTTTTAATTATTCAATGATTTATTATTAAATGAAATTATGATAATTTATTATTAAATGAAATTATGATAATTTATTAGTAAATGAAATTATGATAATTTGTTATTAAATGATAACGTAAAGTACTTTTATACTCTTGTATACTTGGACTAAATTCTATACTTGTGAGCTTAATTTTAATATATTGTTAACAAAATTTTTAGCGTGTACTATTAACTAGATAGAAATCATTTTAGAAATTATTTTTAAGGTAATTACTTAAAAAAAACTAATTACAGTACATGGATAATGTAGAAAGAAGAGAGAAATTTCTCTTTCAATCATAAATTATCGCATATATAAAAGATAGATTTGTTAAATTTTATAATAATTATTTTAAAAGACATTTGCGGTGATTTATAACTTGACTAAAATTGCAAAAATATTTATAGTGATAGTGCATAAAGTTTAGTTTTTATTGCAAAAGTGAATAATTTATAATTCTTAAAAATATTTTTATGTTAGTCGAGAATATTTCTTTTACCGTATTAAATTAGCTAATAAATATCAATGGAATTTATCACAATTAATTGAACAATAATATTGTAAACTCCTTAATATCATATCCAATTCCCACACATTAAAAAAAAAATGTTGCTGAAGGGTGAGAAGAAATTTTTTTTGTAAACTCCTTATTATCGCAAACCTAGTTTCGATGCTCATCGTATCCGTGTAATCTTTTTGATAGATAAAAAAATTACCAGTCTTTCTGCCTCGCCCCTTACCTCTGTTCAATGAAAACTGTTGTAATTTAGAATCTCAATAAATAACTTTTCAAAGATCAATCACGCGTGATAATTTCTGGATACGGTTCAATAGGAAGACTCCTTGCAACTTTATCAATCTTGCAATGTAGTCCCCCAGATGCAATAAAACGTGATACCTTCCCTGGAAGAAAATCAAAAGTAATGAATGAGTAGCCTCAAACAGGATTCAAAACCTTGCATTAGTCGATAAGGGTTTATTAGATAAATTTCTCCAAAAATATTCATAGGAGAGAAAAATAAGAAGAAAACGTAACATAAATTTCATAAACTAATTTACAGAAACTCTCTCATATTAGTTTCTTCAAAATTTTATTTTTAACTTCACATAAATTAGTTTTATTTTATGGAAGAACTTATTTTGATTTTCCTTCCTATTTTTCTCTTCTAAAAGTACTTTTAGAGAAATTTACCCAAAATGACTCTAAATATCACATCAAAACTGAGTCTATAAAATGTCTTCACTTACAAATCAATGAAATCCACCGTCAATCCAAAGGCTTTTGCCATAGCATCAATTGTCACACTCTTGTAAATTCCAAAAACTGGGAATAGACAACAGTCCTCACCTCCCTCATGTAATATCGGAAATGAGGATGCAAGTAACGGTCCAACATGATTTTCTCCGTTAAACCAGCTGAAATAGATTTCCAAATGAAACAAAACTATTAAAATAGATTCAAACACAGAAATGAACTGTATGCCAACAATTTGCAGACCTGCTGCACATCAGATTCCTTAAACATACCCTAAAACTATATCAAAACAAAAATTCCGGGTGTCTGCTCACCAAATGCTTGAAGAAAGACTGGTATTGACAATCATATAAGGAATTCAGAAAGTCTGAAAGATATGGGATTTTGTCAATCACTGTGACATGGACAAACTAAAGTTAACAGCATGAAATACACATAACATTCGATATGAAGCATAAAGGAAAAAAAGATAAATAGAAAAGGAACTGCATGATAGAATTAAAATACCTTTTGCTTAGAAACTCTATCCAATGATATAATGCTTATCAGAACAGTGTAAAATATAAAGGTGTCATAGGGGAAAAGTTCATAGGTGTAAAGGTTGAAATAGAATCCAAGAACAGATTGGCAGCCTTCTTGAAATTTCAAGTTGACATACAATACAGGCCCTTGAATACTTTCAGCCGATTCTTTCTCTCCCAATCACCACCTTCTTCAAACAAGCGGTCAACACGACACAAAGTTAGAAAACCAAGACTGAACTAAAAAAAAATAGCAGAGGAAAGAACTAGAGTATTTACAATCCAAATTATTACCTTTTAGCCTTCTCAATGCTTTTTGCAATGAGATCAAAATCCATGTAAAAAAAACCAAGCTGCAATGTATAAAACACCATGTCCATTTTCTGGCCAACTGCAACTGTCTTGCTTCTGTCACCTTGAGATGTTCCAAGGCTTTCTCCTGGTTCAAAAGGGACAACATTATAAAAACAATTAGATTGCAGCAGTTGACAGGAAAAGAGCAATAAATTACAATAGGTATATATAACTTGTCACCAATCCAGATAAAAAAACAGGGACTTTGCCAAATGAGCCTCTCGAACTTCACTCTCACCTAAACTTTCCTCGGCATCAGTAATCCTGAAGTAAAGAAACAACATGAAATATTATAGAGTTCATATATTCCAAAACTTGACAATTTTTCAAACATCTCTAGATATCACAAAATGGAAAATACCGTGTTGAATATGATCCATCAGGCCTTTTCATGTTCCTTACTGCATCTAAATTTTTTATGTTTCGGAATTTGGAAGGATGATCTGCCTACTCTAAATTATAAAGTAACAAATTCCATTCAGAAAGTAAAGTAAGCAATCTTGATTGTTGACGAGGAATCAATTGTCAATATTCCGTGTATATATATGCATAGCAAATCATGGATATATTAGAATATCAAACCGTTGATTTTCTCATCAGTGACTGAGATTAAATGCAAAATGCCAGGCCTAAGCTAGGCTAGATCCAATCACAACATATACCATCATTGCCAGTAGGGGTTCTCTTTTGATTTTGAAGTTCCACGTAAAAATTACAAATAAACTATCAATTTAGTCTCCGAAGTATCACCCTCTCTCCTAGATAGCCCTTAAACTAATAAAATTATATAACTAGTTCCTAAAGTATTGAATATCCATCAATTTAGTCCTTGGTTGATCTATTTTACTAACATTGAGAGACTAATTTGATGGATTTTTTAAAATACATGATAGTGTGGAGAAAATATAGACTCTAAAAGGGGGTTGAATAGTGTAAATAAAAAATTTGCACGTCTTCAAGTATGTGAAATGAATGGTCAGTAAGAATAATCAATAAACACAGTGTTTTTATACTGGTTCACCTCAACTATCGAAATTATGTCCAGTTCTTAATCCAATCAAATTGAGTTCCATTAACTTTCAACAAAGTTATAAGTATTATTTTACTAAGTCACTTCTAGTTCAAACAAGTGTTCTTTGACTGATCTCTTCAAGTCATTATTCAAGTATTCTTTTACAAACAAACTTCTTCAGATTCCACCCCTAAAGTATTCTTTTATAGTTAAGAATCCCCAGGCTCTACCCTATAACAATGGTTATAAAGGTATCACAAAGTTGCAGTTGTCGTTTCTTTTAGACATGATTACAACAAATCATTTTTGTACAAGAAAACTCTTAAAAGAAGATATTTTAAGAGAGTTTTTCTATATTTACACTCTTATTCTCTTTTGTGCTTTTTTTTTTAGTTCCATAACTTCTTATGTAGTAGCTTTGAAAGAGATGGCTATTGCAACTTTTTGAGTCTGATGCATAGAATTGCTCCGTCTTACTCCTTCGTCTTATCTTTAAAGAGAAAAAGTATCGTTGGTGCATTAAATGCTTCAATTAATGCCTTTCATTTAAACGTACTCCTTATCTTTGATACATCAAGCTACTTATCAAGGTAGAGTAACAAAGTAGGAATAACAGAAAACAAAGTCAACAGGCAGGCAAGGAGGCAGTTCTTTTTCAGCATCTTTTCCGTGAAATTAGATATCTTTGGCCTTTGTTATGCTATTATTCATGCTTTTATACACTTTTAATAGAATAAGAGTTTCAAGACAACAACTTTCGATTTGTTAAGGTATAAAACATTCATTTAAACATTTAAAATCTTTAGTCACAATAAATAATGATCGTTAAACAACGACTTTTACAACACATTTTCTTACTAAAAAATGTAGTATTTGTTATCATTAAAACTTATAAAATATGAGGGATCTAAAATTGTCTGACTTAACAACTAAACTATATAACATGACTTCTAATACTTTAAGGAGAATTAATTTAATTTTAAGGACTATTTAGAAAGTGATACTCAAACCAAATTGTTGGTTTATTCCAAAAATTACATATCTAAATTGTATAATACATCCCTTGAAGTACAAACTCACAATCATGTTAGTCCTAAACTAAAAAAAAAAAGTGACTGGAATGACAATATTGATATATATTCATGGACTATATATTCAGGAACCATGATGATAGTAAGTAAATTTAATGACTTATTTGACATTCTAAGAACTAAATTGATAATTTCTTAATTTCAGAGACCAATATGACAACATCTTCGAAATTCAGGCACTAAAATGGTGTTCACTCCTAAATGAACATGTCCATCAAGAGATGGGGTATTATTCAATTAACAATTTAGCAATATAGACTCGACTTTTTTTCCTAAATAAATTCATGTATACAAAACCAGGATGACATAGCGCAAACAAGGGAGAATTGAAATCATGAAGAGACTCACTTTTCATTACGCAAGGAATCGAGAAGAGCGCGATCAGGGTCGAAGACGGAACCCGCAATTAGGGTTTCGTAGAAAGGAAGCATATCTATACAGAGAAAAGAAAGAGTTTGGCGAGAGAGAGGGAAAATTGGGAATCGCGGTGAAGAAGTAAGCGCATACCGTGGCGTTTGAGGCGAACCTTGTCGATGTCGGAGACAGGAGGGAGGGTTAGAAGGAAGAGGTTCGTGGCCACCACAAGATGTTCCTCTTGTTGATGTTCTTCTTCATCTTCTTCTTCTTCTGCTTCCATCACTCTCCCCACTACCTAACAAAACTCTTCTCTCAACACTGTACTCTCCCTCTCTTTTTTCTTATGACACCAACCTTTTGACTTGTTTAACAAACCATGACTTTATTATATATAGTTGGACTTTTAATCTATAAAGCATCACTGCGTGTTCGTTTAATTTATTTATTTTTATTAATGTTTAAAATCAATTGTTGCAATAACTAATAACAAAAATTGAATGAAAAATGTTATTTTAATTGTTATTTGAATTTAGAGAATTTAGAAAAGTGTTAGAAATATACTCCTCAAATGAAATTTTATTATCTAAAATTTAATAGCAATTATAAAATTATAGGAGTAATTAAATAAGAAATGAAAGGTATATTTTGTGAGTCAAAATAAGTTTCAACCGATTACAAAGAAAAACTTCAAAAACTATATTTAAGAGTGTTATGTATATATATATATACATATATATATATATATATATATATATAATAGAATATAATATAATATAACCCAATGCTAACTAAAACTTTATTTGATTGAATTTTCAAGTATAATGTAACTTTCATCTTCTATGAAAAGCAATATTATTCAAAGATAGATAGAATCATTCGATATTATTGATTAAATTAAAATAATCACTTACTAATTAATTTATTTGTTTGGTAATATTTAATTATAAATCTAGATTCACTTTTTAAATATTTCATTTAAATTAAAAAAATAAGAAGAAAAATATTTTTTTTCTTATAATCAAAATCAACTATTTCTAAAAAAAATATTTGGAAGGTTTAAATATGTTTTTATATAAATTAAGTGAGTTTTTATTTTTGATCAATTTTTTTTCTTTATTTTATATTCCTCTAAAATTAAAATTTATTATTATTTTTTTTATAATTATTATTATATAACATCGTTAATATGTATTGATCAAAAGGTTAAGTGATTATCTTACTTGATAAGTTTTATTTTATTGTTACACATTTGGTAGTAAATGTTCTTTAAATGGATACCAATAAAAGAAATAGTAGAAAAGTTGAGAATGTTAAGATGAATATGCAATTATATATGAAAAGACAAGATTCAAAATAATTATGTAAGAAATGTTGGTGTACCATGATTGAGGAACAAATAACAAAAATATTATAAGTGGTTTGTACATGTAAAAAAAGTAGGCCATCAAAACCACCAATAAAAGAGTAAATTGCATGAATTTTAGTCCTATGAAAAGAGGGAAAGGGAGACAAAGAAAGATATCGAAAAAGTTGTTAAAAGAGATCTTATAATATTATCTTTGAAGATTTAGAGTATGTTTGACTTGTCGTTTACATACCTAAACAAACATTTTTGAGTCATGAAACATTGTATCCATTTATTTGGATATTCCTATCTGCATTGCGTCCAATTTATTTTTAACTTCAATGTTCGTTTCAATCAAAGCAACATGATTGTTGCTTTTGTTTTGACATTAACACACTTTTACTTTTTGATTGAAATTGTTAATTTTAAATGACTTTCAAGGATGAAATACCCCATAACATGCTATATCAATAGTGATCTCCTAGGCATGCTTGTCATGCAAATATAAATCTATATAAATTGAAAAAAAGCTCCCTATGCAAGCTCTGTGATACGTAATGACAAGAATATATATTTTAACATTATTGTTATGAAAATAATTTAATACTATTTATAATTTATTTATAATATTATCACCATTTTATCATTATCACTAATAATATATAAACAATTCAAAGATACACGAAAAATAATGAAAATAAATAACATTCATATTATAATATAAAATTTATATTCATTTTAGTAATTACACATTTGAAAGTACTTTTAATTATTATCATCTACACAACAGTTTGGTAAAACTACTTTTAAAATAAAAGTATACATAAATAAGTCAAATTAAACCCACTTTTAATAAGTCAAATTAAACCCACTTTTAATTAAACGTAACTCTAGAAAATTAAGTTCAATTCAATTCAACTTTCTAACTATAATCTAAACACAAACTTAATCTTTAACAAACTAAATGATGTTGTTTGATCTATGTAATTGGCTTCACCTAGCGGGATAAGGTTTGTGGTTTTAAGCAGATCTCTGACCTTTCATTTACTATGTCATAATGTTACGCAATTGTGCAAGACTTGAGGTGTAGGATTATGATATCTTTGTATTTGAATTTTTTTACAAAATACTCGACTTTTCTTTATAGTTGTGAAATACAAAAGTAACAAATGATAAATAAAAGATAAGCATATTATAAGATGATGAAAATAAACTCATGGACAAAGAACTGTATGACACGGTAGCATAATTACTGTCTTAGCCACATTACATATGCCACAAAATAGTCAAATATTATTAATGGAGCAACAAAAATCACTTATTACAAACTTTTATTAAAAACATAAGCAAATTATATGATCACATATAATAACTACTAAGTTTTAAATAATATTGCAAATGCTAAACATCCATAAAGTAAAATCGATACAAGCATGTGTATTCAGTTCGGTTTGGTTTAGTTTTCCCAACAAGTGAAAATAGACCCAAACACCAGAAAAGTATGCAATTTTTTTTAATTTTTTTAATCGGTTTACAATTTTTTTTGGATTGGTTTGACAGTTTACAAAAGTTTGGTTCGGTTCTGAAACCCTACTTTGAAGTAATGAAAAATTGATCTTTCACTTTCATGGTTAAGACACGTAGTTTTCATTATCATCAAGAGCATTATCAGTAATATGTTAAACTCTACATTTATGCCAAAATTTATCAACTAAGCTTAACATAATCCTTTCATAATTTGAACAAGATTCAAGTTTAACAACCGTATAAATAGAAGCAAATTAGCGCTACAAAATCAGAACAAAATATAATTCCAATGTAGTTGAATTACATGCATGGAAGAGGGTACTCTTTCTAATATACAAAACTTCTAGGTACCCCTGCCTCCTATAAGAACAAATCACCCCGTTACCAATGCAATATAATCAGTCAACTATAAAATATGTTAGATCTAATCGCTATTCTAGTCAGATTTGGGGACACCTAATTCAGTGAGTCAAGTCTCTCATAAAAACTATCCAAGCAATTGAAGGTAAACCAATCTTTTTTCATCTGCAGCATGTCAATGTCATACAAAACTGAATCAAAGTGCATCCTTTAATAATAATTTTCAAGAACAACAAACAAGGTAACTTACAAAGTAAGGGTACCCCTCCATGCTAAAATTGTCAGGTGCAAGCTCCAAAAACAAATTAATGAAATAGAGGACAAAAAATCCACATTCATTACCATCTCTTTGTTGTGGCACCTACAATGATTTGTTTTCCTTCCATCATTGGATATTTGGTTACACTGGGGATGAAAATCATAGAAAGGGTAGTAATTAGTAATTACCTTGGGCACCAAAAATGGAATTTGAGATACGAGATGCTTAGTCTCAGGCCTGTCCGCTGTTTTATAAATATCTAGTACAAATCTGAAAATGAACATAGAAGCTTGCATATCTTACAAACTGCAACTGGACAATAATGTCTCATGAAAATAAATAGATATTTGAGGAATGAAACACCTTCTAATCTCAGGTTCAAGTCGCCTTGGATTGGCCATTTCAAGAGAATCCAGCAACAACATGCACCGTGACCTGGTAGTTAATTGCAAGCTTTCACCAAAATGGCAGAGGATCAAAAGACTCCAGTGACCCCTACAACATTGGGATTTCAAAGTAAAAGTATTCACTCCATGGATTAACATTTGACACAAACAAATTGGTTTTTCAGCAATAAAGGAAATCGAGTGCATTTACCAGCAGACTATAGGAACAAAAACATATGCCTTTGAGAAGATATGTTCTTTTTTAATCCAAGTCAGCACCTTGTCTTTAGATAAAGCAGTCCTGTAAAGGCTAAACCATAAGCTGTCAAAGTACATAAAGTGTCTCTTCCTATCTTCTGAGCAAATCTTCCATATTTTCCTGTCAGAAAAATTACATTCAGAAACAAGACATCAATTTTCAAATTGCTCCTTTTACATCATAAATCATTAGACCCTAACTCACTTCAAGTAAATATCAAAAACTCCACTGTCTAGCTTTTCCTTGGGTCTAGAAAGCGCTTTCTTGGGTTCAGAAAGCTCTTCATTGGGTTTAGAAAGTGCTTCCTTGGGTCTAGAAAGTGTTTCCTTGCCATGGAATTTTCCCTTTCTCTTTGTTCGCAATCGCCTGGGAACATTGCTCCAATCAAATGGAAATGGTGAAAAACCACTTCCTATCACATCTCTTTGAAGCTTCATTTTCTTTCTCAGACAAGCATAGACTAACTTGTTTCTACATCCTGAGTTGATTTTTCTTTCTTGCTTCACAGAAACCACTGAGAAGAACAATGATAGACAGAATCAAATTCTCCATTTGGTTCTCAAAATATATCGAATATAAAATCACCATGACCTAGACCATACTTGTAAAACCCCAATATCCACAACAAGGTTTTAAAAAATGATTCATGACCACAATTTTTCCACAACTCTTAACATTTTTAGGCTCTCCAACAACGCAATTGCGGATGTATTTCTCTACAATTTCCCACAATGTCAAGAATCGTGACAAAATCACGATTACAACCATAATTTAAAACCTTAATCTTCTAAAAGAAACTAAAACAAGTTACTTACCCCTTCCAAGTGTTCAAATGTAAAGAAAATGCAAACAATCAAGGAAACCTAGAAATTTACAGTCATGGTCTTGCAGCAATTAAGCCAATAGGATCGGTTTAATGGTAAAGGATTAGAGGCAGAGTCCTTAGTTCAAAGTTTGACGTCGTCCGTGTAATTCCTACTAATTAAGAAAATAACAAATACATGATATTGTTTATAAACATTAAACACAAACTAATTATATCTCCTTTACACAAATTTATCGTACAGTGATAATGGCACGAGTCAATTATACTAAAATTCTAGTGTCGTGTACAAAGAGCAACACAATATATGGTAAAATTTGGGGCAAAAAGAAACCCTACGATGACGATGAACTAACCTTGGTTGTCACCTAGCTTGCTAGTGTTCATTTGTGCTGAGGGTAGTTTCTTCTATTTTGGCTATTGTTTTTGTTGATTTTGTTTAGTAGAAGACACTAAACATAATGTGTTGTTCAATGGAGTTGCGACTGTTTGGCTTCAATGGAGTTGTGATGGTTGTAAGGGCATGTACACCTATTTTTTTTTTATTTTTATTTATTTATCAATGTTAAAATAATTTCTGCTCAATAGAAATAAAATGATCATAAATTTGTTCTTTTTTAATTTCAAGATACAAATTATGTCCATAAAAAAATGTTTACCTTTGAAGTTAGCTATACAAAGATTACACTAATAACATGAGAAACATTACTTACACATTTTTTAATACTATATTTAAAAAAATTAATTTAATATATGTAATGCATATGTTAAATATTATTATATATAAGGAGAAATTCATTTATTTTAAGAGTAAATTTATTTAGATTTATTTTGTTTGATAACTAATTTTATAATAAATTTTAATGATCCAACCGTTGAATTTAAAGTTTTTAATACATATATCAAATTTGCAAATTTTTTAAAAAATTAAAAATTATTTGATACTTCGTTTCATTATTTTAAATTGACAGATAATTATAAAATTATTTTATATGTTGATTTAAATTAATGGAACGGAGTATCAAATATTTTTAATTTTTTTTTAAATTTACAGATTTGATCTATGTATTAAGAACTTTAAATTTAACGATTGGATTGTTAAAATTTAATATAAAACATGAATTATTGAACAAAATAAGTTTAAGTTTAGGGTTTTGGCTAAACTTACTCCTAGGAGGTGTTTGGTATTCTTAGGAATTACAAAACCTGGGAATCATGATTTTTTGGTTAAAATATGTTTGCTTACTCATAAAAGTTCTTTGGAATATTCATATATGATTTTCGAGAATTAAAACTTTTCATGTTTAGTTACAATAATATATTCTTGGATTTATAAATATTTTTTTACAAAAATATCCCTAATGAAAATAAACTCATTATATATTTATTTACTTAAATCTTGTTACAAATATAATATTAAATTATTTTAAAAAGATGAAAATTTATTAAAATTATTTAAATACAAAATTCTACGACAAAAATAAAAATGCTACATTATAATTAAAAAGAATAAAAATATATTTTTATTTCATCCAAATAAAAAAAATATAAAAAAAGTGTTAACAAATATTATTAAAATATAGAAAAAAAAATAGATTTTAATAATACTATTATAATTGATAATATCAAGAAATAATGAGATACAAAAAAGAGAAATAGAGATATGAGAGGGAGAAAGAAGGGAGGGGAGAGTAAGGTGGAGAGGGAGAGAGAAGGGAGGAGAGAGTGAGGGGGAGAGGGAGAGAGAAAGAGGGGGAGTTGGAGTGAGAAAGACAAAGACAAAGAACGAGAGCGAGAAAGAGAAATAAAAATAGAATAAGAGAGACAAAGATAGAGAGAGAGAGGGAGAAAGGAAAAGAAAGGGAGAGTGAGAGTGAGAGAGAGAAAGAAAAACAAAAAGAGAGGGAGAAAAAGAAATAGAAGGAGAGATATTTTTTTTTATTTTAAAAAAGATACTATGATTTTCTTATATACATAAAACATTTTCTCTAACTTAGAAAAGTTAGATTTCTACCTTATAAAAATATTTTTGTGAGAAAGTGGGATAAAAATACCAGACAACTATATTCTTGAGAATCATTCAAATAACTACCAAACATAAAAAATTAAGATTCTCACTTTAAGATTTTCAATAATGTATAAACATTTCGCATATCAAACGCCCTTTAGAATAAACGAATCTCTCCTCAATATATATGTTTGATATTTAGTTTTATTAATTCAAATCAATATAGAAAATGATTTTAAGATTATCCGTCAATTTGAATAAATGAAACGAAATATCAAATATTTTTCAAAATTTTTAAAAATTTGTAAACTTGATCTATGTATTAAGAACTTTAAATTCAATGATTGGATCATTAAAATTTGATATAGAATATGAGTTATTGAATAATGTAACTGAGTAAGTATAAATAGACTTTAAGTAAATAGATCCATTTTCTCTTTATATATATTAATATATATATATATATTTATATATATGTGTTAATCATCTATACACTGTCAGAGTAAAGTTTTTTTATATTGACAACCAATTATATCTTTTAATTGTGTCATGTCACTATAAACACATTTATTTTTAACAGTGACATGACACAAAGATATAATTGGTTGCCAAGTCTCTCTCTATATATATATATATTAAAAGAGTTAATTATGCAATGACAGTCTTAAAGTGATTTTTTTTATTTAAATCACTCTAGATTATAAAGTGACACTTTTGATCAAAGATATGTTGAAAAGAGCAGATTTTATCCTTTTCTAAAATAAGATTGACTTAATTCTTTGTATTTAGCTTATTATTGTATCACTAATGGGTTACGACAATCAATCATATTTTATAGAATCTGTTAATATGCATTATAGAATATGTAATGTATGATAAATATGTATAATTAAGGAAAAAAACCATTAAGTCGAGTTTATAAATTCTGCATAATTATAACAGAATCCCTATTTTGTATGACTTGTACCTCGATAATTTCTTTGTAGCATCAACATTCATAATGGGATCTTCTTTGTTTCATGACTACTGAGATTTGAGACAATCTGGGAATAGACATTCAGCTAGTTGTATATGACTTTGAGCTCTCCAACATTGTACATTCGTAAATTTGTGAAGTACTACTGTGAGACAAAACAATGTCATTACTTTTTCAATATATTATACTTTTTGGTACGTCTATTTGATGAAAATGATGCAAAAGCTACTATATTTTGCTTTCACAGACAAGTGCAACTAATAAACAGACCGTACATCCTCTCTTTGATAGTGTAAAAAGTTGGATGTACATAAATTCTAATTTGAGGATTGACCCAGTTTTGCTTGACTTCAGTTAAGTACTATAGATTGCTTCCATAATCCCATACAACCATTATAACAAAGAATTAATATATTATGACAGAGACCAATATAATCCAATTTCTTAGAAGTCTTGATGATGGAAACATTAAGATATTGTTTTCGATAAATTTCGTTAAGTAGATTCTTTACATTCAAGTATCAATTCATTAGTTTTAAACTTAAATATGTTTCAGATAAATATATATATGTTTAATCACTGAATTATAATTTCTATGCATTTCAATCAAAAGAAATCATATCACTATAAATTGTAACTAGATTGAATAAAAGTAAAATATATTACATTAAAAGAAAAGAAAAATGATATAAAAATACATACACACATTCTTCAAAATCAAAAGTCATTGATGAAAGTAGGTAAAAACATATATAAGTTTGTGTAAAGTGTTTTAGACCTTCAACAAAGATTTCAATTTGAGTATTTAAAGAAAAAATTTACTATAATTAGTAAATATGGACGATATATGTATATAACTAAATAACTTCTAAAAATTGTCATGACTACTTGAACTTCTAAATTTTCGATCTAATTGAAAATTTTGACTATCACCCTACATTTCTGGACTCTTCCTTTCTGATTTCTTCGACTAGTTTCTTCAAATCTTCTTTTTAGTAGGTCAACGGAAATTATAGATAACACGTACACAAAATATCACTGTTTAAAGAGCATTGACTGGTGGAATTACTCTCAATGTGCTTGGATTAGTAAATTGAGTCCTCTAATACAAGGATAAAATAAGTTTATCAATAAACTTCAAAATTGTGACTATTTCACCTTAGATAGGAACAAACACCAAATGAAAACCTCTACATGGATCATCATAATATCACTTGCATATAAAGTCTCGCACTTGTCTGACATCTATATCATCTACGTTTGAGTTTAGCACATGTTTGACATTCATTACATCATAGTTTGGTACATCCATTCAAGTCCAATATTTGTCCAACACCCACCTTATCCACATTAATGTCTAATACTTTGTTTAACACATTCATTCAAGCCCAATGCATACTTGTCATTTGCATCACCAAAAGTATGGTCCATCCCTAACTCATGCATTCAAGTTCAATACATGCTTAGCATCCACAACATTTGTACCAAAGTTCGGTACTTATCATGCACATGTAATCAAGTAATGTACTTGCATAACACATTTATTGAAGTTTAATATCTACTTGGCATCAACATTGTTTCCATCATTACACACTCTTTTAATTTTCAAGCCTCTATCATTCTTTTGAGCCCCCGTGCTCACTCTTTTAATTTTCAAGCCTCTATCAATTTTTTGAGCCCCCGTGCTCACTAGAAACTTACTCAAACAAGTCGTAAGTGTTATGTATATGTGTAGTAACCCAATTTCGTCCGAGAAATGTCAATTTTTGTTTAAAAAAATAGCAAAAAAGGTATGTACAAAAAAGAATAAGAAAGACAAAAATATAGAAGGCAAATGTAACACCTCATTTTTTATATTTTTATGGAGGGTAATTTAGTAATTTTGATATGATTTTAGAAGCACAGAACGGGCTGTTCCAAAACTGGAACGGGTCGTTCCAACCTTCAGAAAAAGCCCTAAAATTTCTAGGCGGGAACGGGCCGTTCTGGATTCAGAACGGGCCATTCCAACCTTCCAAAAACAACTATAAATTCTAGCCCGGAACGGGCCGTTCCCAAACTGGAACGGGCCGTTCAAACCTTCAAAAAAGAACTATAATTTCTAGCCCGGAACGGGCCATTTCCAAACTACCAAATGACCTCTATATTCTAGCCCAGAACGGGCCGTTCCGAAATTGGAACAGTCCGTTCCGAAAATGGCCGTTGTGAGTAAAATTGCAACCCCGAAACAGGCCGTTCCGAATTCAGAACGGGTCATTCTGGTCCCTCCTGAAAGTTTATAAATAGCGGACCTTGCCTTTCCAAAACACACCTACACACACCCCAAACCCACACATCTCCACCTTGGACCAGAGAGAACCCAAAGGAAGAGACTAGCAAGTTACCACTTCTGTCACAAACAATTGTGAGTACATCGAACTCACTTCTTTTATTATTATTATTTTTTATATTAATAATATCTGTCATTAGTCTTTATTTAAATCCAAAATGTGATTAAATATCAAAATATAATGTTACAATATTTAATGTAAATATCTGAAACTATTGTATTAGAAATTTTATTGGAGGAATGGTTAACTAGATGTGACATTTTTTTAACCTTTGAATTTAAAGTACAAGTTGTGACAGCTTATCTTTAAATTTTTTCTCCAAAAAAAGAAAATGTCCAATTAATAAATTTTTTAACATCATAACTTCTCTAGCAATAATTATAATTAAAATTTTATTGAATTGACTTTGGTGTACACCTTAGTCAATATTATATTTTTAGGGTGAATGAGTTGAGACAGTTCAAAAATCATACATTTTACAAAAATAAAATTTAATTAAAAAATGTTAACACACAAATATTTTCTACCAAAGAACTACGTGACTCTGATTCTTCATTACACATGAAGATACGTAGGAGCAAGAAATAAATCTTGTCGAGCCAAAAAATAAAAAATATATTATCCTCCTTTTTATATAACAATAATAATTTTAACCTTTTTTCAATGCAATAATTTAGTTTAGTTAAATAAAATATATTTAATCATTTTAGTGAGATAAATATTTTATAAATTATAAATAATTAGTTTAATTAATTAAAGGTAATCGTCTTAGGACGAACGTTGTGAGGTGCTAATACCTTCTTCACACGTAATCGACTCCCGAACTCAAAATTTGGTTTTCGTAGGCTATTTTCTATCTTATGGTTTTTCCAATGTTTTTCCGTAAAAAAACAACATTGGTGGCGACTCCCTCTTTTTCAATTTATTTTTCGTTGTCCCGTCGCGACCGAGGTTGCTACAGATGGCGACTCCGCTGGGGACTATTTTTGAGAGTCAAGCCTATAATAATTAGTTAAATTAATTAATAATTTTAAAAAAAAATGTTTATCTCACTTTTATTTTATTTTAATTATTTTTTTGTTTATGTCTCTTATTTGTTGTTTGTATTATTTGCTTGATTTATAAATATACATTGTGTAATTTGAACTTTAGTGTAGAAGAATTTTATTTTCTACATCATATGTGTAGTGTTTTGTAGATTGGATAGTGTAGGATTGCTCCCTTCACACACTTCACTTGCACAATTTCACAAACATTTATGAGTGGGGTCCTACGCCCGGACTTGAGTGCATCTTATGATAAGTCAGAGGTTGAGTAGTAGTAACCTTCTTGATGAACATCTTGTTTGGTTATTATGAAGGCCTCACCTAGAGTTTGATCCTTTCAAGGGTATTATCATCTCTAATAGTTTACCTATTATTGTGACTAATATCCTAAGAAGGGTTATTGGCTCTAGGAACCTGTGCTAGAACTATAGTCTCACCCTTCTGAGAGGAACACATATTAGTAGCCCATAGAGTTCTCAATTTAGGGATGCCCTTATTAAGTATCACACGAGCAAATTCTTCCTCTACGTTCGAACGACGCAAAAAAAAGAAGAGAAAATTTTATTCTATTTCATAATGCACATCATACATTTTTTTTTAACTTTTGTCATATCTCATACCCCTTCAATATAACACACATCACAAAAATTATTCATGCATGCATTCATCTACATTACATAATTCATTCATGATATGCATTTTACATCTTTGCATAAAAAAATAATACTTTATGAAATCATTCATACAACTCTAAAAGATTGCAATTGTCATCATCATTGACACTTGTTTCTTAAAGAAAATGAATACAATTCTCTCTTGCATAATTCAAAGTAAGATCATTATTCCATTTGAGCATTTAGTCTAAAATGTATCTCATAACATTCAATATTTTTATAATTTTTCATGACATTCACGCATAAGCATTATTTAGATTAAATAATCATGTTAGGTATATTCATTAGGCATATCGTCTTTTCTTGTCATTCTCCATAATTGCATTCATTTTCACTTTATCATCGCAAATCAAATGCATTTGTTTCTCTATAAAAAAAATATAAAAAAGCAAAAAAAACATTTTTTTTTCATTTCAAATTCTTCATTCCAACATTTTTTATATACATGCATTTCATAGTAAAATAAAGGTCTAAGTGATTGCTCATTCATGTCATTTACAAAAAAAACACTATCTAATATGATTATTTTCTTTTAAAGAGGATGTCAAGCAACAAATTTATGCAATGTCTTAAAAGAAAAAGAAAAAACAGGAAACAAAGAAAAATGGGGAATAACATGAAATTATTGTTCTCACTTACATTTAATTCTCAATCGAGAAGATGAGCTCCTTGAAAATTTAACTTGTCAATTGACATGGTTTGAAAACCATTGTTAACCCTTTAAGTATCAATTTCATTAACTTGCATAACAAATTGTGTTGTTATCTTCATTGTCATAAATTGTCTTTGTCCCATTACATCTCATAGTTTCCTCATTATTCTTCCAAAAAATAAAGAGTTTGTCCTCATAAAAGTCAAGTCTGTTGGATGATTCTCAATTAGAAAGTTTGACAATAGAAATTTGAAGATTTCTTATTGGGGCAAATTTATCATTTTATGAGTATTTGTCCCACCAACTACTACATTTAATGGAGACAAGTCCTATGAGCAAAAAAAAAAAAAAACAAGTGAAAAAATGTAAAGTCCGTTAGACTGAAAACCCGAAAGGGTGGTCTAAGCAAAAGTTAGGACAAACAAAAAAAAAAGATAAAAAGAAAAGGAGTAACATGGAGTTCATTAAGTTTTGTCTTAGGATTAACTTTTAAAAAATAAGCAGTCAAGATTTGAAATGATGTATGACCATCACTTGCCACTCAAATTTGAGCCTAAAAGTGAAAATTTTCTTCAACTACTTCAAACAAGACTCACCCTCAAAACAGGGGCAACACAATGTTCCCATTTAATTCAGCTTGTTTATGATACCATCAAAACAATGAAAATGAAAAAGAAGAGAAATGAACCAAAAGCATCAAAAGGCCATTGTTTCATCCTTGTTGTTATTGATTAAGGTAGCTTCCTATACCTGTGTGACAAGCAATGTGGTGGTCAAGTTCATCAAAAGAGATTTAATTTGTTATTTTGATGGTCTATCAATTCACATCGTTATTGATAATAAGACCAATATGAGTAACAAGATGATGAAAGAGTTGTGTGAAGAGTTCAAAATTCAACATCACAATCCTTCACCATGTTGTCCTAAGATGAATGGGGCAATAGAAGCGGCAAATAAGAATATAAAGAAGATTATTCAGAAGATGGTGGTCGCCTACCAGGATTAGCCTGAAATGCTCTTTTTTGCTCTGTATGGATATCACATTTTTGTCCGCACCTCTACTGGGGCAACTCCGTATTCTCTGGTTTATGGTATGGAAGCAATCATTCCCATTGAGGTTGAGATACCTTCTTTGAGAGTATTGGCCGAAAGCAAACTTGAGGAAGCATAATGGGTTCAAACTCGCTATGGTTAGTTGAACCTAATTGAAGAGAAGAGATTGAATGTCTTGTGTCATGGTCAATTATATCAAAAAAAGATCAAGAGAGCTTTTACCAAAAAGGTTTGTCCGCAAGAGTTTCTAGAAAGAGATGTGGTATTGAAGATCTTACCACCTCAAAAAGATCATAGAGGGAAGAGCTATTGAACCCAATAAAGTCTGATGCAGTCAAGAAATTCTATGCAAAATAATAATAAAAATAAAAAGTTCGCTAGGCTGAAAACCTGAAAAAGCAGTTTAGGCAAAATTTAGAGCGACCTGCTAGGCTGAAAAATCGAAAAGAGCGGTCTAGGCAAAAGTTAAGGTCTAAAAAGATGAAAACAAATAAAAAAAATCAAGAGCTCGCTAGGCTGAAAACCTCAAAAAGGCGGCCTAGGAAAAAGTTAGAGCAACATGGTAGGCTGCAAACTCCAAAAGAAAAACCTAGACAAAATTCGGGGTGAAAAAAAGAGGGGCGAGGAAAAGAAATCGAATAAAACATTGAAGCCAACACTATAGAAAAAATCCTTGTTTCAAATAACCTTCAAACACACATTTGGGCCTTTGTATCCATCTCACCGACCAATGTTACAACTCGATAAAGTCCATACAGATCAAAAATTGGTTGCTTTTTTTAAAAAGTTTAGTCTTAAGACAAAACAATTGAACTCATCTATCATTGTTAACACGATTGCTCAAAAAAAAATACAAATGCTCATAAGACTTGCACATCCATTATATCATGAAGAGAAACAAACATCTAGTGCAAAATCTTCTATTTATCAATATTCATTGATTACTATGCTCAATAATTATGAAAATCACTCAAAAGGATAGATTGGGAAAAATACAAGTCATGCCTTACTTTGATCCCCTTACCCAATTAAATGAGACATTTGTTTTATGTCTCATTCTTCCATCAATTCATACATCAATGTTATTTCCTTGAATCAGAAAACAAAGCAATCACATTCATCATTGTCTCCTACTCTACCCCTGCCTCTCAAGACTAAATTGGAACAACCACTTCACACTGAGGCAAAAGATCTCATCGTCATTTCATCACCTTAGCCTATGATTGGAATAATTGTCTAATCCAACTTTGTTCCCTATTTCTTTATAAATTGGGGCAACTCAAAGTACTCTTTTTATACTGGGACAAGTTCTCAACTATCATCACATTTTCATTCCAATCATATAATCCATGTGTCTCAATTTTAATCAAGTCAATGCCTGTATCATCCATATTCCACCATTCTAAATACGGGTTATCCTTCCCATATGTGTCACTGTTTGATTCTATCCACTCGAGTCTAAAGTGATGTAAATCATTTGTCTCACTTGTTCAAAGTCCAAGTTAGTCTAAATCCTTCCACTTTTCACTCCATTAATTTGACATCAAACTGGGGCAATTGCTCAATCTCTTGTTTCCATCAGGTTCTCAATTCTTGTCATATCTTGGTGTAGTTTGCTCTATTTTCTCTACATCAAAATAAAGTCACGTTCAAATATCTTTTTTGAATAGTCTTCCAAAAAAAAATCATTTATCATTGTTATGCATGTTGGTTAAATGATGTTTCAAAAGAAATGACAAGATGGTAATCGTTCAATTGATAAGTTAGGCCAAATGAGTCTCACTTGATTCTAGGTGGGATAAGCTTGAAATGATAAATTGTGAGATCATTTTTCAACGATTGACAAAGAAGAAAAGAACATAATTTCATGGTTTAAAAAAAAAAAAAGGGGTGAAAGGGCTTTGCATGGATTTGCTTTCTCTAAAGAAAATAATCATTTTATGATTTTCTTTGAAAAAAAAAAGAGAAACAAAATGAAACTTGTCAATAATACCTCATAAGCATCCCAACACCGAATCAAGTATTACATCATTTGTATTAATATGTTTGAAGTGTTCATTCATGTCCAATGCTCACTTGGCATCCACTTAGTTGCATCAAAGTTTGGTATTTTCCTAATGCATGCATTCAAATTCATCACTTGCATATAAAGTCTCGCACTTGTCTGACATCTATATCATCTACGTTTGAGTTTAGCACATGTTTGACATTCATTACATCATAGTTTGGTACATCCATTCAAGTCCAATATTTGTCCAACACCCACCTTATCCACATTAATGTCTAATACTTTGTTTAGTACCTTGAGGTGATTTAGGGTTGCTTTGGGCCTTGGGCCTAAGATCCCCGGGTTCCGGTGTGATTTGCCCGGGCTCCGGGCTGTTATTGTTCGGTGCGTGCCCGGTATGACCTTTGTTTCGCTAGTCCGGGCTCAGAGCCCGGATGCGGAATGCGGTTAGTACACTAGCCCCCCGAGCTCCGAAAGCCGTAGGTTGAGGAGTTAAGACCGGGCTTGCTAGAGAGGGAGTGACTTAGTGCGTGCATTAACTGGAGCTTCGCCACGTGGCGTGGCTGTTCACTTCTGAAACGTGCGGGCGGCGCACTAGAGGAGGTGGCGGTTATGCGATTGATGGCTTGTATTTAATGTTTTGTCAGGCGTGTCCCTTGGTCGACATGTAGCCTGGCAGTTTTGAATTTCGGGGAGAGACTTTTCCTTTTCTCGCGCCTTTGCCCTTTTCACTTTACTCTTTTTCTGTCTTTCAGCTTCTTGCTCACGTCTCGTCCTTGCTTGCCCCTCGTTTCCGTTTTCTGTCATTTTCTTTGCGTTTTCTTGATGGATGGTGGTTATGGCGGCAAGTCTTCTGCCTCCGCTAGGGGTAGGGTACGTGGCAAGGCGGTGGTTGCCGCTGAGGCAAAAGGGGTGCCTCCGTCCGGAGACTCAGAGCTGGGCATTCCTGGTTATGAGTGGGTAAAACGCGAAATGGCTAGGTTTGCGAGTGTCTTCGACTCGAGCCTGGAAGTCGATGCGTTGTGGGAGACGCACAAGATTTGTGACCCCTCTGTCTCTCAGAAGATCCGATTGGAGCCTTGTTCGGCTGGCGAAGGGGTGTACATGAAGAGGTCTGCTGATTTCCCCTCCTTTTATGTATATGAGAGCTTTTTTCAGAGATTTGGGTGTTTGCTTTCCCTTGACGCAGTTCGAATGTGATTTTTTGAACTATATTAATGCGGCCCCCAGTCAGTTGCATCCCAACAGCTGGGGCTTTTTGAGGGCGTTCGAGATCTTGAGCGGAGTTCTAAGGATGGAGGTATCCCTGCCGGTCTTCCTTTCTTTTTACCAGTTGAAGGCGGGTGGTCCTACGTACGAAACGCTGTCTCTAAATGGAGGTAAGGAGGGGGGTCTGTTTACCCCCTACTCCCCTTCATATAAAAATTACAGGCAGGAATTTTTCCGGGTTACTCTTGTGGGTGTCAACCCTTTGGAGGACGGGGGATTCTACTTTGGCGGGCTGCCAAGGTTTCCCTTCTACTGGTGCCATGACCCTGTTGGGTTTCATGGGGTGGATCCATCGAAGTTAACGCCGTCGGAGACGGCTGCTGTTGAAGCTTTGAAGGCGCTTCCTCGTCCGCTGGACTGCAAGCTCATCCTGTCGCTCGAGTGTTCGGCGCACAGGGAGAGAGACTTGGAGGGTGCGTATTTTGTTGTTTTCGTTTAGCTGTTGGGGTTTTATGCCCGCTGATGTGTTCTGATTTCTGTACTTAGGTATTGTGGGGAGGGACCTGTGGCGTGGCTGGAAACAGCGCTATGGCTACCGTGTGGCCGGGCTTGAGGATCTTGAAGCTCAGGGGGAGGAGGAGGTTTCCCCCCTGAAGATGAACCGGAAGAGGAAAAGGGTCCTGACAGAGACCGTGGGAGTCGCTGCCCCTCACGAGGCGGAGGGGGTTGATGCAGGGGCCACCGGTGCCGAGGCGGCGGGCTCAGTTGGTACCCCTCTAACGGAGGGGGGAGCTCGGGTGGCGGAAACGGATGTCGAGCCCCTCCGCCCTTCTACTGGAGTGCTTGTGCAGGCTGTCGGACGAGGGGTAGGGATTATTTGTCACCTTGTTAGCTTTTCCTTTACATGGTTTTGCTTAATGTTTCTGAGTTGGGATCGTTCCTCGCAGGTGGAGGCTATCATTGGGTCGACTTCCCGGGCCGTAGGCCGGGCCGGTGTGGTTCCTGAAGCTTAGATTCCAACCGTTGGGCGGCTCTCTCCTGTTGTTGAGGTGGCAGCGTGTGGCTGTGATCTGCTACTTTGTTGTACCTCTTGTTTAGTTGGTGAAATTTTTATATTTTTTGTAGGCAGGAAGGACCGCAGGGGTTGCTGATGGTCGAAGGTCACCGGTGGTGGGGGTTCGCGTCCCAGCGACCGGGCCAGCGGCTGGGCCGGCGGCCTCCTCCTCCTCAACCGGTCGTCGTGGTGAGGGCTCTGGTTTTGGGGATCCAGCTCCTGCGTCTACGACGAGGGGGCCGCCCAAGCGTCCCTACCTTGCGTATTGTTATGCGCAGGAGGGTGCGCCAACACGGTTGGAGCACCTGAGTGCGTCAGAGGGGATCGACTCTTGGTGGAGCGCCTCGCTGACGCCTGAGAAGTTTTTTCCGCAGGGCTCCTTGAGTGCGGCCGATCAGGCGATGTTTGAATCTGCCGGGCCCGTGGCAAGTTTCGACGCTGCCCAGATCTTTTTGCAGAGGGGCACGACCATTGTGGATTATTGGAAGCGCAAATGGTCCCGGCAACAGGAGGAGTTATCCAGGTTGAAGGGCCAGGTGCAGCCCCTGATCGAGGAGAATAAGGTTCTGACCGCCACTCTGTCCGAGGCGAAGCTGCAGGGGGTCGAGCTTCAGGCGGCGCAGAGGGATCTTGCCGAAGCTCGGGGGTCGTTAGAGGCGGCTGCCCGTTCTAACGAGGCTTATGCTAGCCAGGTTCACTCTCTGGAGGAGGAGGTATCCTTTTGGAAGGGTGAACTGGCGTCCGTATCTGAGGAACGTCTTTGCGACGAGGTGGTCCTCGGTACTAAGGAGGCAGAGGTGGTCCATCAGAGGGAGAGTCTTTCGGCTCTAGAGGCCGAGAATGCAGCGTTGAGGAAGAGGCTCGAGGAAGTCGAGCGCTCAATCGTGGTGGAACATAAGAGAGGCTTCCTCAAGGCGGCCCGGCAGGCCCGGCTCCTTGCGCCGGGGTTCGACTTTTCCGGGATGCATTTGGAGAAGGTTGTCTGCTTCAGGCGGTTAGTCCGGGAGGACGACATCGATGAGAGTTCTAGTGACAATGCCTCTGTATAGGATACTTTTTGTATTTCCTGTTTCTGACTGTCTTATGAATTGTACTTCTCAGTTATGCAAGTTTTGTTTTAGGTGTTGTTATTTCCACCCTGATTTTTGCTATAACGAAGTTCCGATCGGATTTTTGCCCTGTGTTTTTGGTGGCGAGGTTTATGTGCAACCGTTAATACTGAGGTTTCTTTTTGTCTTGTGACGGGGTAAGATGGGGTTCGTTTTCGACCTTTGTTTGAGTAAAGTGGGGTTCATTTTTGGCCTCCATTTGGGTGACGTGAGGTTCGTTTTTGACCTCTATTTGAGTGAGGTGAGGTTCGTTCTCGACCTGAGGTTCGTTCTCGACCTCTATTTGGATGAAATGAGGTTCGTTCTCGACCTCTATTTGAATGAAGTGAGGTTCGTTCTCGACCTGAGGTTCGTTTTTGACCTCTATTTGGATGAAGTGAGGTTCGTTCTCGACCTCTATTTGAATGAAGTGAGGTTCGTTCTCGACTTGAGGTTCGTTCTCGACCTCTATTTGAATGAAGTGAGGTTCGTTCTCGACCTCTATTTGGGTAACCGGGTAATTGCACTGTAAGGGATTTCGAGTATATAAAAGAAACGAATCATTTTATTTGATGAAAGCTGTGTGCCTCGTTAAAAACCCTTCTCAGTTAGTGTGTCTTTCCTGAGGTGGGAAAAGAGTGCACCGTCTATTTGTACAAAGTTTAACTGAAGTAAAATTTGAGGTGGGTAGCGTTCCAAGTTCGTGGAATGGGCTTCCCGCTGAGCTCCTCTAGGCGGTAGGCTCCATTTTCCAGGTTTTCTGCGACTCGGAATGGGCCGCCCCAAGTGGGTGCGAGCTTCCCGTCTGATGTGTCCCTCTGTGCTTCTCCGAGTAGCCGCCATACCAGCTCGCCTTCCCGAAAAGACCGGGGTTTCACCCGGGAGTTGTATCGCCGGGCGGCCCTGAGTTTGGAGGCTTCTGCGTGGATTTGGGCTTCGTCTCGGAGTTCGTCTAGCAGGTTAATTTCTCTTATTACATGCGATTTTTTTTGTGAATTTTTATGAAAAATTTGCAGGAAAAGTTATTCCTACAAATTTTTCTGCGAAATTTTATCTGTAGGTAATTACTTCGTGGATAATATATTTTTGCGAATTTTAAAATTCACGGAAAATTTTCCTACGAAATTTCTTGTGAAAAAAATTTGTAGGAAAGTTTCCTGCAAAAAAAAATTTCGCAGGAAAGTTTTTTGCAAATTTTTTCGCAAGAAATTCTGCAAAAATATTTTTTTACAAAAAAAAATTAAAAAAAATTATTATAAATTCTATCAATAATTCTTCAGCTTCAAATGTTCATAAAGAACTTGCATTATGAGAAATGTAAGCTCAAACCATATCCCACACATTTGTCTTTAATTTATACTTTTAATTTATATATTTTGTCTCTATTGATAAGAAAAAATAAAACTTACAATGTAAAATAGTTAGTAGTACACAAGACTTGTTGAACAAAGAGTACAACAAAAATCTATTAGAAGAATTTTACCTCTAACACCAAAAGATCTATTTAAATACGTATGTCTACTAAAATAAGATTTTAATGTTTATAGGGTGTTGAACTTGCATTAGGAGAAATGCAAGCTCAAACCATATCCCACACATTTGTCTTTCATTTATACTTTTAATTATATATATATTTTGTCTCTGCTAATAAGAAAAAAATAAATATTACAATGTAATTCTAGTTGAATAAATTTTGATATAATTAATAAGATTCTCATAAAATAGTTTGTGTCGAGCAAGTTAAAATAATCAATAAAATTTTAATATTATAAATATTTTTATCAACTAATGTAATGACATATAGATACTAAATAGTTACAAATACTCAAGTGACACTCTTTGTTGTTTTTTTTCTATCTTTCTTCTTGTGATATCAAATTACCACTAATAAGAATTATTATTTAACGATACATATTCTATGAAGGTATAATATTTATTATTAAAAATTAATTTTATCTATATTATAATACATATTAATATATTATTAAAAAATATGAATATAAATTATAATAACACATAATATATATATATTTTAAATCTCATTTAAAATAATATTAAATTTTATATAATTATATATCATATAGATTTATATTTTCATATATTATTTTTTAATTAAATTTTTTTTTTTGCATGTGTAACATTAATTTCTCGTGGTGTACCAATTATTTCAATCAGTTATGTGTCACTCTTTCAAAGTGACTTTAGCCCGTGACTGTCCAGTATCTTCTTAATGACCCATCACCACCACTTGTCGGCCATACAAAAAAGAAAGGGAGAATTATGGATACAATTCAAACCTTAATTAAACTCGAACATGGTCGTGATTCGTTAATCTAAGACATGTCGAACACAATAAATTCATACCCAAAAAACAGTTTATATAAGATGGTGGCGCCGAATATTGCGACAAAGTAGCTTTACTATATAAGTTCTATATTATATTATGATATATACTTTATACATTTATAGATGAATTGGCCAATTAATATATTAACCTGACTTGGAGCAATATTATCTGTTTTGGATTCATTTTCACCTCGTTGACGACCCAAGTCGTTCACCATTGCAACAATAGTTGAAAGCCATAGAGGAAGGAAAGAATCTAAAGGATGTTCCTTGAGCACTTTTTCTGTTATCATGGGGCCACTTTCTTCTATAAATCCCCACTCCTTCATTCAACACCACGCCACTACCACTCCCACCATCTTGTTCTTCTTCGGGTAATTTCTATTTCTCCATTCCACTTCTGTTTTCTTTTTCCTTTTTTTTATTAGTATTTTTTTTTATTATAAATCAGAATAACCTAAAGTTAAAGAACAACTCTTCGAAATATGGGATCTGCTAAAACAACTGAACTCTTCTAACAAGTTTTTTTTTTTCCTTTTTTTTTCTTTCATACACATAAATTAGATGTACGTGGTGTTTGATCTTAACCTACACTTGTTTCAGTTCTATTTTCTGCTCTTTTTTCCCTTCAGTTATGGACCCTTTGAATACCCCTCAGTTCTGGATTTTTTTTTTTTAATCTATTACTAGTCGACCAAGAATCCCACCAGATCTATGAATTAAATACGTTTTTTTCATACAATTTTGAATTTTTTATTTTAGTTTTATTTTCCCAAACCACTCTTTGATATCATTACAATTTTAGTGTTGATTTTGAATAAGATTTAATAACATATTTTGTGTGTCACTATAGTCTATACATACATTTTTTTAACAATATACTAACATATATTATATTTATTGTGTGAGTAAAAGTAGTTTTTAGTGACACATATTGTGTCACTATAGGGTGTGTGTCACTATGTGACAATTTTCTTATAATGAAAAGAGAAAAATAATTTTTTTAGCTACACAAAGTATATATTAGGAGAGTGATACTTAACAAAGAAATAAGTGAGAAAAATAAGAAGGGTGTAAATAGAAAGAAATTACAGTAGAAAAATATTATTTGAATGGATGAAATATGGTGAGAAAAAGAAAATAATATTTTCCTGTATTTATGTGGACAAGTATAGAAAAGAGAATAAAAATAAATATATAAATATTACAAAATTATTGTAATTAAAAAAATTAAATTTAACTGAAGGTGGATTTTAATTATATTATTTTCATGAATTTTTCTTTTATTTTTTGTATAATAAGACGAAGAATCTTATTTTCTAAACATTTTTAAAATAAATAAATATCACTTGTCCCATCTCATTTCATGGCTGGTACGTGTAGGAGGCTTATTTTTTGTTATGTTCATTAAACTGATCGTACGTAAATTAAGGAAGAATAAACAAATTAAGGAATTCGTACGAAGCGAATACATAAGAACAAGGTTTTTTTTAAAAAAAAAAAATTATTTTTGACGTTTCCAACACTTGTACTGTCAATGTGGAAAATTTACTCAAGAAGATGGGAATTTCTCAAAGTAATGAAGCAGCTATTTTCTATCTCTCAAACCTTTAAAGACCAAAGAAAACTTGAATACGTAATTAAGTGGGGCAGGTGTAGGCCAGGGTGAACTTTACTTATTTTTATATATTTTAGTATACAAATATATAATATTTATTAAAAAATAACAGCTTTTAAGGATTCTTTAGAATATAAAAGAGCAGTAAATTGAAAGAAAGAACTAATAAGAAAAGTTTAAACAAGAATAATTGATACATAAGTATGAATGGTTTCTTTGATTTTTTACTATTTGGTTTCTTTTAATAGCATTTTTAACGTTATCAAAGTTAGACCATGATCACTGAATTCTTTACTCAAGTAAATGTGGATATATTTATTTTTTCCCATTTGGAATTCCTATCCTCTAGCTCATGGTCGTTGGTCATAACGCGACACAGAACATGACAAGTACGAGGATTAAACTACTCCTTATATTTATGGATTATTATAAATGGAGTATGAGGAAGCCTAAAACAAATGCAACAAGCATAACCAAACTTTATCTCAAGAAAAAAAAAATATTAAAATTTCTCTTAAAAGAATATATTAATGAGAAGCACGTGCAAAACGAGGTGGTGGGGACATATGCTTATGTTCTCCATCTACCCCCAACTTTTGGCTAGTTATTGTACGGCAATTGTTGCTTCCTAACCTGTGTCTGAAATTTCAATCTAATGAAGAAATTGTTAAAGCTGCGTACCTCAAAATATTACTTTTGTCGGCAGCTTTTCCTCCTACCCTTGAATGCCTGCACAAAAATGATCAATGATATCGTTAGGGTTTGCACGAATAATAGTCTCATATATATAATGTATGTACCTTGAGGTGATTTAGGGTTGCTTTGGGCCTTGGGCCTGAGATCCCCGGGTTCCGGTGTGATTTGCCCGGGCTCTGGGCTGTTATTGTTCGGTGCGTGCCCGGTATGACCTTTGTTTCGCTAGTCCGGGCTCAGAGCCCAGATGCGGAATACGGTCAGTACAGTAATATAATTATTATATATTTTTATATTTTTATAACGGTCTGGACGTACAAAAATGAGAGGGATTCAAAAATAGTATAAGTATGAGATTGTACTTAAATGAATTAATTTGTACTACTTATACTGATAATATGCATTAGCTTCTCTGTAGTCTATCTCATCAGAACTCCACAGTTAAGCGTGCTTGACCTGGAGTAGTAATGGGATGGGTGACCTTCTGGGAAGTTTCTCAGAAAAGGTGCAAAAAGGACAAAACATGTTGAAAAGTGAAGTGTAATGAAATAACATCCTTGAGAGGCCAAATATGAGGGTTATTACATTAATAAATTTATTAAAATTAAATAAAAATTTCCTGAAATTTATCTACGGATAAAATCCGTAGATAACAACTTTCGTGAGTTATCTATGGAAAATTCCGTAGATAACATTATCTACGGAAAATTCCGTAGATAACGTTACCTACGGAAAAATTCGTAGAGAATATTCCATAGATAACGTTATCTATGGAAAATTCCGTAGATAACGTTATCTACGACCTTATTATCTACGAATTTTTTTCCGTAGATAATCCGTAGATAATTGACACTTATCTACGGATTTTCTTGTTTATCTACGGATTTTTTCGTAGATAATCTTGATTTTTCTTGTATATGTAACTTGAAATGTATAATCCACTCTTCGAAACATATAATCTCCCATTTTCATTGTGTAGATTGGCATGCAATGTGTGAATTGTAGAACATAGTTTGTTCATCAGGTTATTAGAATGAAGAACTTAGAAGTACCTTTGTGAATTAGGGTTGTTCCTGTGTTAGGATACACACTTCAATTATCCTTGTTGTAGCGAGTCTGGTCCTGGGTCTAGGTATTCTCATTCCTTTCTGATTAATCCGAAGTGAGGGGGTGCCTGCAAAGACACTCCAACGCTCAAGTAAGTGCTCGGCGTAATAAATGCGGTAGTTGAAAGTTAGTTACGTACCTCGTAGGTGGTCTATTTATAGTGTTTCTTATTGGGCTGTAATTAGGGACTGGGCCCCGGGAAATTAGGGGACTAATCCGGCACATTACGTAAATTAATCCTTCTTTAATTGTCCTGGCGTAAATTCATAACTTGGCCGACCACACCGACACGTTTGGCAGGTAATCGATGTGGTCGGCGAGGGTAATTGGGTCGGTCGAGTCAGATGCTCGGATATTCGGCCTGGTCGACTACCATCCGGTATACAACCCCCACAGCATCAAGGATTGGAAAGACGAAGACGGTGATACATACTAGGACTTTTTGAGATGGGATTGGGGTCGGCACTGTGCAAGGTACGGTTAGCTTTACGTTTTAGGAGTGGTTAGCCTACTGATGCAGTCGTAATCGGTGTGGCCGGGTTGTCGGGTATTAAGGAAGGAACCCCGTAGGGGTGAAGGTGGTTGGTTTGTATTTAAACTTGTCGTTCCCTCGTAACGATGTGTTATTTTTGCTGACCACTTGATAGTAATGGTGTCGAAAGAAGGGAAATAGTCGATTCCGAGGCCTGGGACGATTTCCCAAAGATCGAGTGTTCGCCCTTTTTGTGACTTCGAATGAGGCTTCGGCGTTGCTACATTGTCCAAGTTGGGTTCAAAATTCGCCGATAACTACGATCACTAGATGGGGGAGATGCCTATGCCAAGACCTCCGTGAGTTTGGTCGGAGTATGCCACGCTGGCTGTGGCGGTTCCAAGTTCAACGGCTATTAAATCTGGGCCGTTGGATGGTCAAGATCCAACGGTTGTGGGTTCGGGGTGGCTTTTCACCTCCCCCCATTTCCCTTGCCTATAAATATGGGGGTGCATCGGAAATTTACGCGCTGTAAATTTCCCGAGGGCTCTGAAACTCAAAGACTTGTCCGAGCTCACCGATCAAGGTAAAAATTTTGTACTCTTTAGTTTCCTATACTCAATGGACAGAGGCTATTTGTCGGCTAGGAGCTGGACGTCATCGGAGGCGTCGGGTGCTTCGCCGGAGAGAGAGAGGTCGGGTTTGAGTGAAGTTTCAAGGCTACCGTCGTTGTAATGTGAAGTGGTGTTCCCTTCGAATTTCCCCGAGCAAGAGGATAGCGGAGACGCGGGGGTTGAGGTGTCGCCCCCCGCGATATTGGCGGCGGCTTTGGCACGAGTCAATGAGGAAGCCCCTCACACCGAAGCGAGTGGAGGTGATTTGGAGGTACTCGGCGATGCTCGAGGCAAGGTCGCGGGGGGTCCGAGTACTCGAGCGAAGGTGAAGATTGACTATGGCTCGGTTGAGATGCCCGGGTACGAGTGGGTGGACGAGGAGGTCGGCATCTACTTCTCGTCGTTCTTCGACCAAGGGCTACTTGACAAGTTTGTGACATTGGAGAAGTGCTTCGGCAGTGGGGAGGATGAATTGCCTTTAATCGCCAAGGCGTGTAACGATGATGGGCTGGACACTGATTTCGTGTTTTTGGAACCGGGATCGGAGGAAGAGGGGTCGGCCGGAGAAGATTACATCTACGCCTACATGTGCTGGTTCTAGGATCTCGGCATAAAGTTGTCCTTTGACGATTTTCAAATGGGGGTGCTCTGAGTACTGAACGTGGCGTCGACCCAACTGCATCTGAATGCTTGGGCAGCCATGCAAGCTTTCCGGAACCTATGCCTCTGCCTAGGCCTCATGCCCCGACCACTCGCGTTCCTATATTACTAGATCTGCTGTCCGAGCAAACCGGTTAAGTGGGTTTCCTTAGCTTAGGTGCAAAAACGGGGATTCTTGAGGGCGTTTACATCGTCATATAAGGGTTTTAAGAGTGGGTTTTTTAAGATCAGCTGGGGGCCGGATATGGATGACTGCTTCTATGACCGAGAGGGGTCTAAGTTGTTCCCCTTCTACTGGACGAAGCATCCGACACGTTTTGAAGCGATGGACGCTTCGAAGCTCCCTACCGAGGACTGAGAGATCATCGATCTTCTCGACCAATTGCCGAAGGGGTTTCCCGTCCGAGGACTCCTAGACATATTCGATTCTTCAAATTTTGAGTTTACTCTATTAGGTATGCTTATTGGCTTCGGTAGTGCAGCATTGTTTTGAATTGATGTTAAGACTTGTGTTATTGCAAGGTTAATGGCCAGCCATGATTTGGACGTAACTGCCATGCTCGCGAACCGAGCAAAAGCCGCGAGGGCTAGTGGGAAAGTGCCACCGCCTAGGTAGGCCCTGAAGATTCCAAGGGAGAAGCCCTCGAACATCCTAGTTCCCTTGCCCGATTCCAGGAAGAAGACTGGTTCAGCTCGGGTGCGTTCGGCCGAGCAAAATATAGAATCAGACCGCCTGAGCTCATCCACCAAGCGCCAGAAGCAACCAACTTTGGAGCAGTCGGGATGTGGAGCTTTCGCCATCTCGGCGGTCGTGGTCGGGTCTAACTTCCTTAAGCTGATGTATACCAGATGGTAGCCGACCAGGCCAAATACTCGAGCATCCGACCTGACTGACCCAATTACCCTCATCGACCACACCGATTACCTGCCAAACGTGTCGGTGTGGTCGGCCAAGTTACAGATTTTGATCTCTCGGGAAGACTTCTGGTCGAAGCCAAAACGAGTGTACAGATCAATGTACCCTCTCGTCATCACTCTTTCTCCGGAGAAACCTACCATCGGCTCGTGATACGGTTCTAGGCTCTCCTCGGGGATCCCTAGTTGCACAAAGGTGTTCCAATACAGTATGTCGGCCGAGCTCCCCTGGTCGACCAAGGTTTTCTTCACAATGCAGTTGTGAATTTCGACTGAAATGACCATGGGGTCGTCTTGGACGGGGTCGACGCCACAGAAATCTCGATCGGAGAAAGTTATTGGTGGCATCTTAGGCATCTTTGGCTGATTAACGCTGTTTACTGATTGAACAGCTCGGAGGTGTCTCTTCCGTGCTGAAGAGGTGGAACCTCCTCCGGTGAATCCTCCAGCTACGGTGTTTATCACTTTTCTTGGTTGATCGTCGTCCTCCCTGGAATGCCGCGAGTGATCCCTCCTCTCGGCCGAACGGGATTGGCGGTGTCGGTCTCTCGGCTGTGGGGCCTCGCGAGAGTGATGGTCTCTCCCACTTGCCTGGTGGTCCTGAAGGGTGACGAAACTCCTGAGGTGACCTTGTTTGATGAGGTTCTCGAGCCTATCTTTCAGTGCCGAGCATTCTTTAGTCGAGTGCCCCCTGTTTCGGTGGTCGGCACTGAAAGATACGTAAATTAATCATTCTTTAATTGTCCTGACGTAAATCCGTAACTTGGCCAACCACACCGACACGTTTGGCAGGTAATCGGTGTGGTCGGCGAGGATAATTGGGTCGGTCGGGTCGGATGCTCGGGTATTCAGCCTGGTCGGCTACCATCTAGGGTGGATCATTGAATTATTTTGGGAATGGTACCAATATACGTTAAATAATAATTCTTATTAGTGGTAATTTGATATCACAAGAAGAAAGATAGAAAAAAAACAACAAAGAGTGTCACTTGAGTATTTGTAACTATTTAGTATCTATATGTCATTACATTAGTTGATAAAAATATTTATAATATTAAAATTTTATTGATTATTTTAACTTGCTCGACACAAACTATTTTATGAGAATCTTATTAATTATATCAAAATTTATTCAACTAGAATTACATTGTAATATTTATTTTTTTCTTATTAGCAGAGACAAAATATATATATAATTAAAAGTATAAATGAAAGACAAATGTGTGGGATATGGTTTGAGCTTGCATTTCTCCTAATGCAAGTTCAACA